GTTTTACTGTTAGTTAAATTTAAATGCTGGAAACAGTATTGAACTACCTTAGCTGAGGATGTTTTTTCTGATAGGTATCACAGTCCATAGTAGAAGAAGAAGATGAAGAATCCAGAGTAGACAGAGAATTCTCAGAACTCAGTGAACAGAGGTAATTTTAAATCATTTTTGTCTTTATTTGAGAACATCAGTCTTCCTTTTCAATTCATGAATATGCTATGTTTGTTATATTGGACTTAATTTCCAACCCCCAACTTAAACAAAACGGTTAGAAGGTTTGCTTTACCAATTTTCCTGTTTCATCTTGAGTAAAATAAAGTAAAACCTCTAAGCATACATTTATTGCGAGTTGTTTCTCGGTTTGTAACTCTTACACCTAAGCAGGACTTTCAAACAAATTTTATTCTTTTAATTTTTTTCTTCATTCCTACCAGACTGTATTATTTACGAGCCGATTCTTTGCGAGACAAACAAAGTATTATTAAGGACAAAGTGTCTGAAAATAAAATTCTTCAGAAAGAATCACAAGAAGAAAACAACAGCAACAGTGATGATAGTGACTATGAAGAATTCTTTGATTGGAGAGCAAAGAAGGTGTCATGATGTAGGCATGGTCAATTACAACATGATTGTGATCATGTATAGGAGCTTATCCTTTGGGAGATTCTTAATAAAAAGTGTTATGTTGTAAGGCCAGTCCGACAACTGCAGAAATAAGGATCTTCATCCTCTAAGTATAGCACATTAAATTTGTGTTTTGAAGAACGATGACGTTGAACAAGCTGGAGAACTTCAATAAGTATCACTTGAGTGGAATTCAAATGGGTACTAATGTTACAAATAAAACTAAAAATAAAATACTGTTTTTAAGAAAGAGTTTAAGTCATCGTGTTGCTTTTGATTATCCCAGCCATTTCTTATATACCAGCTATATAGATACTACATATTTTACGGAGAATTTTTGAAAGATAATGCAAAATTTCACCGAAAAATAGAGATTCCCCTCGGACCGCCGATAAATCCGTCCATGAAGGAACTGCTGTAGGGCGCTGTGTGAACATATGCAGTGGATTGCGTTACATATTAAAACAAAAGGCACTCCTAAAAATCAGGGTATCTTGAATTCCTGCCAAAAATCCTGGAAAGGAAAATTTCAAATCCCCAAAAATCCTGCAATCATCCATCCCTGTCACTTGAAATCCCGAAGTACTCTCCTCGGCCAAGAGCACAAAGTGCCTTCCAGCAAGTCACGCAATCCAACCTCACGAAACAGGCACCACAAATGTTTCTTATCCTATCCGCCGAGAATCCTTTCGATCTCTAAAGAATTTCAAACCTAATGACTTTCTCTTAGAATGTAAGAATTATAAAATCTTAATGTACAGTCCTTTGCCGTCAATTTCCGAACATTCTATTTTTATATTGCATATCTTTTGAAAGTACGTTTGATTTATTCGAATCAATATGTTTTCGAATATTTCAATGGTTTGCGCATCTTTACGCCACAATGACATCGATTCAGTTTCACAAGGGTACAATGGGAATAACTCCGTGTAGTTATTTGATGAATGGGTTGATGTGATAGTGGTAGGCTTTGGAGCAGGCCCCGCGCATTTTGGATACTAGTTTGAAATATTCTAATTTTCCCTTCAAAACGGGTACAGGGCTCGGTGGCCAAGTGGTAAGGCGTCGGTCTCGTATGCTTATAACGCTGTTGCAATGGTAACAGCGATTGTTAGGGTATCAATAAAACCTGTGCAAAACAAGAGCACAAAGACCCCACATTTTCCTAATCTACATCAAACTTTCATACATTCTATAGACTGCTTCTAATTCTCAGGCATATTTCCGGTCGTCGCTTTTCTCAACCCGAAAAGTAGCTTTTCGGGTTGAGAGAAGCGACGAATGGAAACACGACTGCGTTCGCTGGCTACAATCACTAAGTACTGACTTCCCTGATTGCCTACACAGGCATTCTTCGACGAAAGAGCCTGCGTGAGCAGCCGAAGGATCGTCTGCTTACGCAGTCAAAACCGGAAATGGCTTCCAATATTGAGGCTGGTCACGCAATCCTTCCTGCAAAAAAAGAGAACACAAACTTTCAAATCACAAAAAAGTCCTTTACTTCGCTTATGATTTCAAGCCAATGTCCTTTCACTTAATAAAGCTAGAAAAGATCCCACAAATTATCATATCCTCTGTATATGTAGGCTTAATTAATGAATTCGATTGGTTCGCGTTCGGTTTGTAACGTTTGATTTAGTGAAAAATATCGCATATCTTTATACTAGGCAGAATGTTTAGGTTTATAGGAGGACAATCTATATAAATAAATCCTTTCAATGGCTACTAGTCCTTTGTTGAGCAATACTAGCCTGTACACAGACGTTGTTTTATTTTTCTTTTACGGATTTTGAAGAGAAAATGGAGGGTCTGTGATTACAGAGGTTGAGGTGCCGAGAGCATTATGGGTGTTAGTTTTAAGTATTTTAATTGCGATGCAAATCTGTAGTGTGGCTCGGTGGCCAAGTGGTAAGGCGTCGGTCTCGTACCTACGAGGGTTTGAAACCTTCGCCGATAGAACCGAAGATCGCGGGTTCGAATCCCGTCCGGGCCTTTTTTAAAATTTTTTTTTTCCATAAGAACTGTTTTTTCTTCTTTTTTTGCTCTTCTTTCCAAACAAACCCCCATAATTTTTAAAATACCGTTTCGTAATTTCATCCAATGTAGACCGAAGAAATGAAAAAAAAAAAAAAGCCAAAATAAAAATGTGTAAAAACCTTTTTTTAAATCGAAACACATTACTTTGAAAAGAGCAATTGACCTTTTTTTTTGTCAAACACCGCAACATGAGGCAGTTTTAGATTTTTTTATCTTTCGTGAGTTAAAGGACAGTTTTTAACCTACTGTCCCCATCTGTCTTTCTGCGTCTGTAAAACGGACAAATCCTAGCCAATCGAATGCACTATTTTGTACTATAACAGTACGGTAAGGTATCGAACTTAATAATTAGAGCGGTTTTCACTTGACTGTCGTAAAACCAAAACCAAAGTAAATACACTAGCCAACCAAAGGGCGTAGTAAAACCAAAACCAATACCAAAACCAATTGCTTTCAACAGTCAAGTGAAAACCGTTCTATATGAAATGAATAAATATATTAAAGGAAATTCAAAGTCACTTCCGAAAATTCCCTCCTCGAACCGAACATTCCCGAACATCACCGAAGCGTTGTGAATCTCAAAGATCGCGGGTTCGAATCCCGTCTGGGCCTTTTTTTCAAATTTTCTTTCCATAACAACTGTGCTTTTTCTTCTTTTTTTTCTCTTCTTTCCAAACAAACCCCCATAATTTTTACATCCAATGTAGACCGAAGAAACAAGAAAAAAAAGCCAAAATAAAAATGTGTGAAAACCCTTTTTGAAATCGGAAATTTAAAGTCACTTCCGAAAATTCCCTCCTCGAACCGAACATTTCCGAACATCACCGAAACCTTATGATCTCAAATGCATTCTGGGGTTGTATGCGTCAGCAAGACAAAGCTGCCAAAGCTGCCAAAGTTCATTGAAGAAACTTTTTTACAAGTTGAAAGGAGTGTAAAAACTGGAGCAGAACACTTAAAAGGTGAGAATTGTTATGAAAACTCCTTTTTTTCGGTGTGGTTATTTTAACTGTAGACCTAGCGCCTTATTTTTCGCATCCAACTGGCACGAGCTCCATTTTAAACGCCAAAGCTACAATCCCAGACAAACGTAGTTGGGAAGGTTGTACAACTTAACTTGGTCCATTTTCATCCTCAAAAAAAGAGAGTTTTCTCTTTTGCTAATTATCCTAGAAAAATTAGGCGTACAAACATTAAACTTTTCCTCGACATTGGGCCTGGGGCGGGTGAAGGAGGGAAGGAAAAAAAAGAGGTAAAAAGTATAGTAGCAGCCTAGCTTTCCAACACTTTTGACGATGACTGTAAGTCCACGTGCCAGGTCCGACCAACAAGTAAAGTTTTCCTAGTAAAACAAAATACGACAAGAAACGTCTCGATCTGTCATCTGATAAAGTGTCGGCTTTTCTTGCTGTTGGTCTAGTTTTTTGACTGATTGGCTTTTTTTTATTCCTGTTTGTTTTGTAAAGCCTACCTAAGCTCAGTAGATTGCATACATGTTTACTTTTTGCATAAGCTTGAATAAAACGCAAGGGGTGAACAAATATTTGCCATTGTGAAAGAATTAGCTGTTGAATTTTTGTGTTATCAGCCTTTTACATCAACGCGAAAAAAAAAATATCAATAATTTTCACATCGTAGTCCACCCCCTAAAGAACTTTTATTTCGCAAAGAACTAGATAAAGTAAACGTTGGTGAAATGGATACGTCTTCTTGTGTTATTGAAATTGAGGGTAAAAATGTAATATGTTATAAAGACTAAAGTGGAAGTCTAATGAAAAGGTCAAGAAGAGTGTAACAAGTGTTAATTCAATTTTATTTGATCCAGTCAATAACACTAAATACACTGTTCGAATATAATACAATGCCGTATGACTCTATGTGGAAGAGGGGGATGCCAAGACAAGTCAATCTTTACAGATTCAGCATAAACAAAGACTGTCACGAGTACATTGAGATATTTGTACAATAATTATTCTTACTACTAATAATTCAATAATACTAAAAAGAGATGTTTTAAAAGGTTAACATGGCCCTAACCTTAAGAATGTTACACGGCAAACTCAAGGGTCATCCAGATTTTCCCGCACTTTAAGCAGCTGCACCTCAAGTCACGCGACCCGCGTCATTCAAAACGGTGGGAAAATGGGCTTAGAAGGGGGTATAACAGCCTGTCTTGGAGAAAAATTTTGGCAGTTGTGGCATACTTCCAGCAATGGTGGAAGGTTCGTCAACAGGCGCAAACCTCGCAGGTCAGTTTACCTACTGCGTTTTCCCTCTGCGTGTAAATTATTCCACATAAACAGACTGCTTTTCATTTTCCTATCTGTTAGGGCAACTAATTGAAACATGTTGCAAAAGAAAAGGGAAACACCTTGTCTTTTATCCATAGGGTGCGCCCCAGAAGGGGATGTGTTTGCTAGCATGTCGGCAAGAACAGGTAGCAAGTTGCTGGTGAATTTTGCCGAAGGTTTAAAGAAACAGAACAATAAGGAAAACGAACAAAGAGCGAAGAATATGTATTTGGAGAGTCTGGCCCCAGGAACGGTATGAAATTTTGAACGAAGGAGTTACGCACTCGTATGTCAGTTATCTACATATTGTGGGCAGTGAGAAAAGAAGAGGGCAAAGATGCACAAAACCTCGTTTTAAATAACCCCAGGCACAGATTCAACTCAGTCCCTTTTACTGCCAATGTGCCTAAGCACTCTATTCCACTATTGAAATTGACCTTTTCACTTTCTCCATGACCTAAGGTCGAAAAATTTCGTAAACTCAGTCAAATTGACAGCAAACTGTTTGCCGTTTAATTCTTCTTCCTCGCTCGCCTCGGGTCCCTGTGAGGAATGAATGACAACCATTCAATATCTAGTTTCACCTGCAAAGGATAAGAAATGAATATTAATGAAAATCTATTATCTCACCAAAAATGTGAGGTTTTATATTGATAGCTTCTAAAGCAGATGTGAAAGCTCTATCGCTAAGTAATGTTTAGGTATCAAGGCATATAACACTACAGGAAATGGCATACCGCTTTGCCATTATGAGGTTGAAAAAACATTTCTCTACATGGCAAAATAGTGTTGCATTTTTTAGGCCATCACTCCCACAATATGTTCTACTGCGGCTCCCTTAGAAACATAAGAAATGCAGATCTTGCATACAAAGCATTACCATGATCTACAATGTTTTCTTCTCTAGATAAAGTCAATTGTAGACTCCCGAGGACTGTTTTTGACGTGGTATAACCACACCTACCCAGGCAAGACTGTTACATTACTGATTAGCGAAATGGAAATAAAGACGTTTTTTGTCTCCTGTGCAAGAGCAGGCTTCACATACACTAGACTCACGAATAACATCCTTCGTGGGATCTGTATGTGGGTAAGTATACTACCCAACAGGGACCCTCCAAGAGAGACCAGTCTATGATGGCCCTACCTGAAAAGGGCAGTTTTGTACAGCAATGTGGTATCTGTAAGGGGAGAGACTTTCACAAGTTGCAGTATTTGAAAGGGAAGGGAATTCTGTCCGTTTGGTTTGTAAAATGACCTGCAAGGGGAATTAATGGTATATAGATTTAAAAGGGTCACGGGGTTGGATTTCAGGGTGAAGCTTCCGCATGCATAACCTTTCAGCCCTATGAATGCCCCACCCATCCTCTTCTTTCCCTGGTCAAAGACATTACATCATTGCCTTGAAAACCCAATAAAGTAATTAGCCTAATCAGATTGGTGAAGTAGAAGGGTTTCACAATCAACATCACATTCCATTTTTCCTAAAAGATGTGCATATAGTTGACCATACAATGTCAAAGTTAATGACATTGGACAGATTTTCAGAAATAGTAACATTTCAGCAAAAATTCATAATATCCTGTTTAGCCTTCCAATTTGGGGCATGTAGCCTCAAGCGAAATTAGCTGTAACAAGTGTTAGGGTCCTTAATTACAATAACAGCTCAAGTGAATTGATTCCGACACTGACATTACTAATGAATGTCAGCGATGAAGTACCTAACTCCCCAGTTGATGACATTTCAGCATACAGGATCATTTCATAAACCACCCTAAATGTATGAATAATTGTTGTCATTTTCAGCACATAGCCAACCAGCACCAGAGTCCGGCCAAGAAATACCCCGAACTGGGCTCAACAATAATGAAATACTTAAGAAAGGAAATAGGAGAAATGGACATCCTGCCCAAAAAACCGCTCTTTGAGCAGGATTTAGAGTACATTGTCGACTCGATAGGGATGGTAACACCAGCCGCATTGCAATGTGAGTAACTAACCAAAAAACAAATGCAAAATGAGGAAATCCATGGCTTAGGTTAATAATGTTGGTAACAATCTCCAGTGTCATTATCTGAATTGTAAGCGTCACATCATTAAGGATGGAAAACATACCCTAGCATGATGACACAGAGCATTTCATAACCCTTCATCTTTCTGGTTGAGAACAGCAATTAAAACTGTGGCTGTTTCTGCCTCTTCTAGGGTACCTGAGGAAATCAAAACAAATATTTCAAATGTGTTTGTTGAAACTGGACAAACCCTCTGACATCGCACAACCACATTATCTAGTAGAGCGGAACCCCAGCCTATGGCCATCTTTTTTTGGCCGCCCGGCAAAAATGACCATGCATTCTCTTTTAAAAAAAACCTTTGATAATACAGTCATCCGTTATTACGACCACACTTTTTGGTCCCATTGGAGACCGTATTAACAGGGTTCCACTGTATTTAAAATTGTATGCAGTAACCATGCTAATGACCAAGATCAATCAATGTCTTAGGCAACATTACAACTGAGTATAATGTATTATAATGTAACAACAGAATGAACTACAAAGAAATTGGTACAAGACACTTCAGTAAAGATACTTTTTTTATTGTTGTAGTATCATTCCTTCATTGCCTGTCATCGAGTTGTGGGGCAAGACCGGCCAGCTTGGTCGAAACGTATGTCCGGGAGGGCATTGAAGAAGTGAGAGACGAACTTGGTTTAGGAGAATATCCTGCTGGGGAAGGATTATGCATTGGAGATGTAGAATTCAGGTGTGTTCCTTCCCCTTTTTTTTGAACAAGCAAAAAATTGGAGATAAGAGTCTATTGTGAGGGCTGTATTCTACAGAGAACCCCACAACAAGTTGATTAGATAATGTAAATGTTGTTTGGGCATATTTTTTGGCATAAGAAAATGCACACCTGGGGCTCCATGTCTATTCCAGGAATACGAACCATGGGACCTTGACATCATAAGCAATGTCCTGACTGACCGTTACATTTTTTACTAATAATTACAATTTATGAACTTACTCCTAGATCTGATGCCAATCTGCAGGTGACCATGGCAGTCACTTTCACACACGAAAAACCCCAAGCAAGCAACAAGAGTCATAAGTAAGAATTTCTGCAAAATAATGTGCCATAATTAAAAGCAACTACTAACTCTTTGGATAACAAGATATGTATTGTGGCCCATTTGCGTACCTTCTGAATATCACAAATGCTAGTTAATATAACTTCCAAACTGTCAAATATTGGAAAAAATGGCTTGGCACGGCTAGGAATGACGATACAACATCTGTTACGCTTCTTCTGATAACGTCATGAGGAAATGTTATTTCTCTTTGCTCAACTGGACATATGATTTTCTCTACAGACGCACATTCGTGGTGACACCAAAACAAGCGGGTAGCCCCTACTGCCCTGTCACCCTCGAGTTTCTGCATGTGGCAAGACGGGGTGCATTCGTTGAAACTGCAATAGAGGCATGGAACACGAAAAATTTTGTCTACAAAGATGAGGCCAAAAATTGGCCATTATTTGCCCAGGTAGACACGTCTACCCAAACACTGAAGGTGTGTAGCTGCATGTTATGTTCTGTTGATCTTTTACTTGCATGCAGGTGAATTTGCATCACTATGTTTAGAGGCTAGAAACCACAGACTAACCTCATTATTAATATTGAACACATTTCTCCTTTTCTGATTGGTGCAAATGTAACCAACTCGCACTGCATTTCAATATCGTCTGCTGTATACAGCCCGAGAAAAAGATCATGGCAAACCAAAATGGCTAGGAACAGGATGTTCATGTCAGCTCATTTAAGGCAACACTATTGCATGTTATGGATTAGAATCAAATGAGGCGGAAAAAAACATTGGTATTTGAAAATAAACAAGTCTCTAACATTCTTAATTTTGTAATAATTTCAGAACAAATCACTCACCACCATACAACTGTCCAAAATTTTATATGGTCAGTTCAAGCATTAGTAGAGTTGGGCTAAATCCAAAAGAACTGTCGCACAGATCTTATAGATCGGTAAGTAGGTTGCAGTAACCTCCATTAAGGAGTTGCATAAAGCATTGTTGTACAATACAGGGTGCTATGTCTCGAGCTATGATAGGTCTGGAATGAGCAATCTCAGTTTTCAACTTTCTGATTAACATGCATGAAGTTAGAAACCCCAATTAACATAACAAACCTCTTTCATCATTGTCGATGTATGACAAGCCATATTGTTTTCAACCAGTAATGAGCTGGAACATATTTTTTCGTCAGTTAAATAACAGGCAGGGTACGCAGTAATGGTTCCTATTATTTGAGCTGCCATTCTCCAACCGTTGCAACTGTACTTTCACAACTGTGAGACATCTTCCAAACCATTCACATTCCTTATGTCTTCATGTTACACATATTGTAATCATGAAACATTTGTTAAACGTGTGAATAAATTCCAATTGCCATAGCAGATCAACACAGAGATTTTCTGTGGAGGCAAAGATCAATGAACTGTGTTCCCTCGAATATTCCCAAATCATTAACCTGGAAGAAAAAGAAATGTGACGTTGATAACTTGAATGGCTTAAGTCGGATGATACCTCTATTCAAACAGATCAGAGTTGAAATTCCATTTTGCAGGATTTACCAATTTTTGCAGTCAGCACACAATCTGCATCCAATAAAGTATAGTTTGTTCCATGAGTGAAGAGTTCTAATGCAACTTTTTGTCTTTTACAGGGTTTTGCGACAAGATAATTCGTTATAAATGCTGCCATGGAGAATGGCGGACGTTTCAGCGACAATCAGGTCAATCAACTGCGAAGGCTGGGGGGGTGGTCGCCGAAGAGTGCAGTTGTGCACTTGTACATCAAGAAAATCATCGAGGAGTATTCGGACACGCTCGCATTGATAACTCCAGGTAGGCATGGCCTGATATCTATCACTTTTAACTTCACAGTCCAGCATTTGTCAGATTGATAAGTCACAGCAATCTTGTACTCTTTTAAGCTCTTCAAATGTCAGGACCTTTTCTATGACCTTAGAAGCTGTCACTGTAAACTTTTCTCAAAACTTTCCTTTTGTTATGGGTTTCTTTTTAACATAGATCAGTTAAACAAACACAAGCTCTGTTTTTCAATAAGATTGGTGCCATGATTACTCATCTCTATCATGCATGTAATTTCCTTCCTTTATGACATCTACAGTATCTAATCTCTATGACAGAATTCTCATTTACCAAGAGCTTCCATGATGGTCCATCCAATTCCATGACTATCCAGGCCTGGCAAATGAACTTCTTTGACTTTCCAGGTTTTCCATGACCTGTAAGAACCCCGAGAAATGAAAATTGTACATCTTTAGTAGTAGAGCTAACATAATGATAGGATATAACAAGATAGATTTTTTCTTTTTAATTGCAGATCTCTGAACAGAAGAGGAAAGAGTGAGAAGGCTAAGAAATGTGCTAACTCCCTACAATTTCAGGCTTGAGCTGCCGCAGAAGAACATAAGCACCCAAAGTGAAGCGGAAGCATTATTCCCTGAGGAATACGAGAAATTCCTCAGGGAATATGAACCGCTCAAAAAACTGCAAGGTAACCTTTCATTATTCTTGCAACCATTTAACAAGACATGTTTCATGACAATCGATAAAAACCCTGTTTACTTTCCCACTCAACTTATTCCTTGAGATAACTGAAACACCCAAATGTCGTAAATGCTGCTTCTTGAGATTTAGTGACTAATCTAGGTTTCTCTGCAGCTGAAGACCCAACGAACAGAAAGAAGATAAACAGAGCAAAAGAGACTGCGACACAGGTCTTTTGCGGAAGAAAAAATGAGCAGCAGCATGAGGACAGAAGGAAGCTGCCAGCCACTCCTCCCAAACCGGTAATCTGTGAAGATGTGGTTGCTATTACATATGTTGCATCTAGTCATTTGAAGGATAGTGTCAGTCAATGTTTGAAACTACAAAATGACTTCCACTAGGGTGTAATCTTGTTTGTACACCACAGACACTGAACCAGATGATACATTGATTGTTTTGAGTGAAATGTCAACCCATCTTATCCCAAAGCTCTGTAATTGTTTTCTCATTCATCTCCTTTGCCTTTTTCTTTGTCTCCAGACAACAACACGGACCCTGGATGTTATTGGGGAAATTAGCTCGTGGACTAACCTCCCCCAGCAAGACCTGGTCCACCTAGACTGCAGGTCTAGGTGGATCCCACCCAATGACGAGGGGGAGTACCCTGAAACATTTGAGTGCCCCTACAGGGGATGTTTGGAAACTTTTTCTAGAGCAGAGGACTGTGGTACTCATGTCAGTACAGTGAACCACCCCAAGACCAATCAGGGGGATGGGAATAATTGGATTTGTGCAGGTACTTTAACAGGAAAGACGAGGTTCCAGGGAGCAAGGAAAGTCAGTTTTATAGCCTGCCATTCGGGCAAGCTGTAGCTAGCATGTAATAGCCCACTAGTTATTTCAATCCTTCTGTAATTTGACTTTTCACCATAAACAGCACTCGGCGTTCGGGGACGTAAAGAACAAAAATCACTAGCCCTATAGAAAAATCCACTAGCCCCGGGCTATATGACAAGACTTTCTTTGTACGCTGTTGCCAAGGACAGCTTAACCAAAGTTAACATGATGTTTTCCAACAATATAAACACACTGCAATTAATCTTTAAGGGGTACGACACATGAGGAAGATACTATTTTTTAGGTCCACANCCTTTGCCTTTTTCTTTGTCTCCAGACAACAACACGGACCCTGGATGTTATTGGGGAAATTAGCTCGTGGACTAACCTCCCCCAGCAAGACCTGGTCCACCTAGACTGCAGGTCTAGGTGGATCCCACCCAATGACGAGGGGGAGTACCCTGAAACATTTGAGTGCCCCTACAGGGGATGTTTGGAAACTTTTTCTAGAGCAGAGGACTGTGGTACTCATGTCAGTACAGTGAACCACCCCAAGACCAATCAGGGGGATGGGAATAATTGGATTTGTGCAGGTACTTTAACAGGAAAGACGAGGTTCCAGGGAGCAAGGAAAGTCAGTTTTATAGCCTGCCATTCGGGCAAGCTGTAGCTAGCATGTAATAGCCCACTAGTTATTTCAATCCTTCTGTAATTTGACTTTTCACCATAAACAGCACTCGGCGTTCGGGGACGTAAAGAACAAAAATCACTAGCCCTATAGAAAAATCCACTAGCCCCGGGCTATATGACAAGACTTTCTTTGTACGCTGTTGCCAAGGACAGCTTAACCAAAGTTAACATGATGTTTTCCAACAATATAAACACACTGCAATTAATCTTTAAGGGGTACGACACATGAGGAAGATACTATTTTTTAGGTCCACAGGAAATGATTAACATAACTGGATGGAAACGTGCGTTTCTTTAACAAATGCTTATGATAAATCCCTTTTTTCTCCCATAGGAGATGGCAAGAGTTTCACCTCTCTGGATGGGTTGAGGTCACACATCAACACAAGCCACCTGCCCAAGAGGCATGAATGCCAGGACTGTGCGTATAAAACTAACTGTGCTAGCCATCTAAAGCGCCACAGGGACAGGTGGCACGGCGGCTCTACTCAAGATCTAAAGAAATGGAGACATGAACAATGAACAATCGGCACATTTGAGATGTGTATATTGTCATCGGAGAATAATTGTTCATGTTTGCATTTCTTTGCCTTTTAGGAGCTGTTTACATGGAGGGAGGAAGATCTTGGCACTAGAATGAGCCTAGAAAGCGGATCATCCTAGTGTAGTATGGTTTCTGTAATCAGTTTGCATGCCAAAAGTTGTACTTGACCCTAGCACTAGGATCGTCCCAGCCGAGAGATTGGAAGATCCTAGCACACTGCCTTTGCTGGAAAGATTCTAGTACTAAAGACAAACAGAAAAAAAAAGGTGGCAGGTCGTTCCGCGGGTTATCTTTTGTCGTTTTCCTTCTCTTCTGTTAACCACAGGGTCCACAATTTGTGCATGTAAGGTTCTTTCTCTCTCTCTATGATCTTCCGGGCGCTTGCTAGGATCTTTCTCCCTCCATGTAAGAACCTCCTAACTAAGTTTAGGTCTAACTTTAGGGTGATTTCCATTATGCCAAAGTTTCTTGAAATTTCGGCAGGTACCACAGTGGAACGGTTCGGCCCAGGTGCAAATTTTGCGCTGTTTTGTGGTTCATCTGATTCCAAAAATTATTGTGTCCAGTCCTACTTTGCTAAGCAGTAGAGCCAATCTCGGTCAAAATGTAAATCGCTTGATTCGACAGCAAACTTTGTCGTTCCATTTTCTCTTGATAACTCCACTGGTTTTTAACTGGTTGATTTGGCAAAATGGAAAGCACCCTTAATAAAGAGCAAAACTCACCAGGTCATGCGCCAGCACCGTGCATCTTTCAAATTTCTTCTAAGATACGAAAGAATGAGTGGATTGTTCAGTCAAATGTAAATAATGTAAATAATTTTTTATTCAAAATAAGCAGTATAGAAAAGCATTGTTGTACAATACAAGGTGCTATGTCTCGAGCTATGATAGGTCTGGAATGAGCAATCTCAGTTTTCAACTTTCTGATTAAGATGCATGAAGTTAGAAACCCCAATTAACATAAAAAACCTCTTTCATCATGGTCAATGTTTGAGAAGCCACACTGCTTTCAACCAGTAATGAGCTGGAACATATTTTTTCGTCAGTTAAATAACAGGCAGGGTACGCAGTAATGGTTCCAATTATTTGGGCTGCCATTCTCCAACCCATTGTTACTGTACTTTCACAACTGTGAGATATCTTCCAAACCATTCACATTCCTTATGTCTTCATGTTACACATATTGTAATGGGACATGTGTTAAACATGAGAATAAATTCCAATTGCCATAGCAGATCGACACAGAGATTTTCCATGGAGGCAAAGATCAATGAATTGTGTTCCCTGGAATATTCCCAAATCATTAACCTGGAAGAAAGAGAAATGTGACGTTGATAGATGTGAATGGCTAATGTCGGATGATACCTCTATTCAAACAGATCACAGTTGAAATTCCATTTTGCAGGATTTACCAATTTTTGCAGTCAGCACACAATTATCTGCATCCAATCAAGTATAGTTTGTTCCACGAGTGAAGAGTTCTAATGCAACTTTTTGTCTTTGACAGGGTTTTGCGACAAGATTCGTTGCAAATGCTGCCATGGAAAATGGCAGACGTTTTACAGACGATCAGGTCGATCAACTGCGAAGGCTGGGGGGGTGGTTGCCCAAGAGTGCGATTGTGCACTTATATATTAAAAAAATCATCGAGGAATATTCGGACACTCTGGCATTGATAACTCCAGGTAGGCATGGCCTGATATCTATCACTTTTAACTTCACAGTCCAGCATTTGTCAGATTGATAAGTCACAGCAATCTTGTACTCTTTTAAGCTCTTCAAATGTCAGGACCTTTTCTATGACTTTAGAAGCTGTCACTGTAAATTTTTCTCAAAACTTTCCTTTTGTTATGGGTTTCCTTTTTAACGTAGATCAGTCAAACAAACACAAGCTCTGTTTTTCAATAAGATTGGTGCCATGATTACTCATCTCTATCATGCATGTAATTTCCTTCCTTTGACATCTACAGTATCTAATCTCTATAACAGAATTCTCATTTAGCAAGAGCTTCCATGGTGGTCAATCCAATTCCTTGACTATCCAGGCCTTGCAAATGAACTTCTTTGACTTTCCAGCTTTTCCATGACCTGTAAAAACCCTGAGAAATGAAAATTTTCTCCTGCGCCTTGTGCATATCTTTGCCCAAAAATAAACGTCTTCAGTAGCTAGAGTAGAGCTATCATATGATAAGATGTAACATAATGGATTTCAACTTTTAATTGCAGGCCTACGAATAGAAGAAGAAGGACTCACAAGGCTGGGGAATATGCCAACTCCTTACAATTTCCGTCTTGAGCCCCCTCAAAAAAACATCAGAACTCAACAGGGAGCAGAAGCATTATTCCCTGAGGAATATGAGAAATTCCTCAGGGAATATGAACCGCTTCAAAAACTGCAAGGTAACCTTTCATAATTCTTGCAACCAGTTAACAAGACATGTTTCATGACAATCGATGAAAACCCTGTTTACTTTCCCACCCAAATGTCATAAATGCTGCTTCTTGAGATTTAGAGACTAATCTACGTAGGTTTCCCTGCAGCTGAAGATCCAACGAACAAGGCCACACAGGTATTTTGCCGCAGAAAAAATGACCAGCAGCACGAGGAAAGGAAAAGGCAACCTGCTACTCCTCCCAAACCGGTAACTTGTAAAGATGTTGTTGCTATTACATATTAACTAATATGGTTAATTAAAGAGGTATCATCCGGCATTAGCCATTCACATCTATCAATGTCACATTTCTCTTTCTTCAATACAACTACAACTATACAACTATTCATTGATCTTTGCCTCCACGGAAAATCTCTGTGTCAATCTGCTATGGCAATTGGAATTTATTCACACGTTTAACAAATGTCCCATTACATTATGTGTAACATGAATACATAAGGAATGTGAGTGGTTTGGAAGATATCTCACAGTTGTGAAAGTACAGTGGCAACGGTTGGAGAATGGCAGCTCAAATAATTGGAACCATTACTGCGTACCCTGCCTGTTATTTAACTGACGAAAATATATGATCCAGCTCATTACTGGTTGAAAACAATATGGTTTGTCATACATTGACAATGATGAAAGAGGTTTTTTTTGGTAATTGGGGGTTCTAACTTCATGTATCTTAATCAGAAAGTTGACAACTGAGATTGCTCATTCCAGACCTATCATAGCTCGAGACATAGCACCCCGTATTGTACAACAATGCTTTGTGCAATTCCTTAATGGAGGTTGCTGCAACCTACTTACCGATCTGTAAGATCTGTGGGAGAATTCTTTCGGATTTAGGCCAACTTTACCGATGCTCGAACTGACCATTTTTGACAGCTGTATTGTGGTGAGTGATTTGTTCTGAAATTATTACAAAATTAAGAATGTTAGACACTTGTTTATTTTCAAATACCAACGTTTTTCTCCGCTTCATTTGATTCTAATCCATGACATGCAAGAGTGTTGCCTTAAATGAGCTGACATGAACATCCTGTTCCTAGCCATTTTGGTTTGCCATGATCTTTTTCTCGGGCTGTATACAGCAGACGATATTGAAATTCAGTGCGAGTTGGTTACATTTGCACCAATCAGAAAAGGAGAAATGTGTTCAATATTAATAATGAGGTTAGTCTGTGGTTTCTAGCCTCCAAACACAGTGATGCAAATTCACCTGCATGCAAGTAAAAGATCAACAGAACATAACATGCAGCTACACACCTTCAGTGTTTGTGTAGACGTGTCTACCTGCGCAAATAATGGCCAATTTTTGGCCTTGTCTTTATAGACAAAATTTTTCGTTGTCCATGCCTCAATGGCAGTTTCCATGAAGGCACCCCGTCTTGCAACATGCAAAAACCCAAGGATGAAAGGGCAGTAGAGGCTACCCGGTTGTTTTGGAGTGACCACGAATGTGCATCTGTAGAGAAAATCATATGTCCAGTTGAGCAAAGAGAAATATCATTTCCTTTATTATTATAAACTGGTTTTTGTATCGGTTTTTTTCATACGTGTTGGAACAAAAACACTCGCACATACCTGTTCTGTTCTTGAATCAGAGCAAAGTCAGATGGAAGTTGTTCAGAAAACGATGTTTAGTAATGCTTCCAAAATGCGCGAAAGCCAAAACCGCCGAGTCCTGGTGCTAGGGACCTTGAAACAAAGGTTGTGCGGGGTGGTGGGGGGTTGTGCAAACCTTAAATAAAAAGTTATAAAAATGTACTTTTAAACAAGTATACATTGCACTCGCTGTATGCTATGCAATATCTGACATTCTATAGTTTTCCTTTACTTGAGGGAAGCAGAGCTAGAGGGGTGGTCATCCTGCCATACTTTAATAACTTCTTTCTGGTTGATGCCTAAAAGATGACGGGACGAAAACTGAACCTGTACAGGGCTTGATCCTCAGACAACTTATGGTCTGCATTTGAGGGCGCACCTCATTTAGGAGGGAAGATTCCTTAATACAATTATATTAGTCTAACAAAGAAAAATTACAAGCTATATTAAGTAATGTATTTAAAAGATATAAGTAACAAAAATTGTTGCATTACCAAATTATTCTTTAAGCTAATTTAATTTAAGTTTATTTAATTACGATCTTGCTTCGTAGCAAGTTCAGCTTTAACTCGCTTTAAAATCCGTCATTGTTCAAAGTATGGTAAAAATTATCTTTGACCTGTTCAAAAGTAGATGAAAGGAGATTTCGTTCTATTAATAGTAGTTGACATTGAATCTCAAAATAATAGATTGTGCTCATAGGTGGCTTGCAAATTTTATAGTGTCATCCTTTTCAGTCGGTGTTGTTTCCAGGACAAACCCGGGGGTTCAGTAATCATTGATAAAGAGGTTTTAAAAGGCTTGTGGAAAGTGCACTTAGCTTATCCGGCTAGTTTACAGGCACCCCACTCAAATACTCGGAAACAAATAATTCAATTAAATTGGGTCAATGACAATGTGTGGGTCAACTGAACAGAAACAGGAGCTCTTCTTCTTTTTCCTGTGGATTTCTTTAATGAGACTTATCTTGTATATCTTGTAAACCGTTGTTAGCTTCGATTGAACAAAATACCATAATTATTTGTTGATGTGGTGAAGGATTCCCTCAGACAGGACATACCGTCAGATGGAGTTTACCTGTACCGGGAATGCATTTTACTTCCGGAATGGTGCTTTAGGGGGTTTGGGTGAGGAAGTTAGTAAATTGGAGGTTGGACACTAGATGTCTTTAGAAAAATATACCCCGTGCTTTGTCTTGACTGATCTTTTGTAGGAGGTTTGGAGAAGGCCATAAAGCTGGAAATTCATAGAAGGTATTATATAAAGGATCCCCATGCCATGTGCAATATACTGAAATGACTTTTTAGTCTGCTCACAAATGGAACAAAGTCCATCTCTGGGGAGTTTGACAGTACATTGTATATCGAAAAATGACTGTTTGATTTAAAACAACCAGTCATGATTGCAGGCTTGACTGTTTCGTTACCATCTAACAAAGACGGTGAATAACTGAAAGCCCAATGTGCCTCGATATACATCTTCCCAAATTTGAACTGCCAACTGATTAAGCTATAGAGCCTCCTATGTTGTTTTCAAAGGGTATCGCTGTTGTAGTATCAAGTATACTTGTATGTGACAAACAACTTTTCATTACTCATGCGAAGAGGGAAGTGGAGCAAGCGAGAAATGACCTTCGTTCCGACTTTATTTGAATCTGAAAATCTTTTGCCTTGTGACTTGTTATCATTCTTCCATTTATATTCATTATTGTTTATAGAATTGGAAAGTTTTTCGTATTCTAGAAGCTGGTGTAGAGATGCCTATGGAGTGAAGGATTAATTCCATATCCTGTTGTAACATCACCATTTTGGACAATATTTTTTTTCCCTCCTTACCTTCGTTCTTAAAAAAAATTCAAGAGTGTTGTGCTTCCTAGTTCTGGATAGGTTTTGGCCGGGACTGGATGCTTGTTTGAGATGTGCTGAAGATGGCAAAAAAATTATAGATTTTTATGTGGTGTGAATATACCACTGAGTTATTACCATCGTTTGACTGTTTAAGTTCCCGTTAATTCCTAGCACTGGGAAATATGCAGCTTTCTACTTTCTAGCATTCTAATGTTATACAATATACACCCACATACAGCTGCAGCGGAAAATTTTGCTTATTCTTGTGAAGGAGAAACCGGTTTTGGTACACGGTACCGAGAAAGCTTTTATGTCATGTTGCATAAACAGCAGTGCAACGTATATGTGTGAACTTGTTCCGGGTCAAGTACAAAGATCTGGCATCTGCGATGGACTGTGATTGCACCAATAACATCCGGTTCGTTGGGAAATTGGTCAAGAGGAAGAGAATTTCGTTCTCTGTTTCCTGTGTTTGCTGGGATTAATGTGGAAAATTAAAGGACTTCCATCTGTTGTCCATCATTATCATCATCATCTTATTCAGTAACACAGGGTAGAAAATTAGCATTTAATAAGGTTGATATGGTACTTCAATTCACTAAAAATATAACATGCTCTACTATCATCACCATATTTATAATAATATACTAAGTATGTAATACAAACATAAGTGTCTAAACATACTCATCTTTATTGTAATAGCGGTAGCTTCCTTATAAAGGAAAGATAATGGATATCTAGTAAAAGGTTTCTTAATAAGATGTTTTTAAAAGAGTTAATACCACCGCCAGGAAGTTTAACTTTGCCAGTTATAAAGTTCAAAATTTGATGTCCTCAGTACTGGAGAGAATGTCTACCAACTCAGGGCAAAAAACGTTCACTCGTCCGCTCGTCTGAGACGACTAGGTTTTGGACTCGGACGACTGAAAATCGTAAAGCACTCGTCCAACTGGACGAGCAAAATTTATCGTGAGCAATATTTTTTTAGCTTCGTAGGATCTGGAGTAGATAGCTTTCATAGAATAAAGTACTGAAAAGTACCTTAAATTGTCACAGTGTTTCTCTGCCGCCGGCGTCAATGTGTGGAGGCGGGTTTTCACGTTACTTATATATCCTTTGCACGCTTGTTTTTGCTAAAAATGGCGCGAAATCCGTGGTGTTCTGAAAGTAGAACACGATGAGTTTGTTCGACCTCTGGAAAATCGAGCGCTAGGAAGGAATAAGAGACAGTCTCAAACAAACGAGGAAAATAGCTCTTCAAAGACGAGAAAAAGAGAAGTATGAAGAGTCTCGTGTCCGTCGATTTAAGCAAGCATGGAATGAAGAATTTCCCTGGGTTAAATTTGACGAGATCAAAAATTACATGTTTTGTGCAGTTTGCCAAAAACATCCCTCTGTTTGTGACAAGAGTAGCAGGCGTTTTGGGGTATTGACGGTTCATCATCCACCTGTTTTCGTCATGACATCTTAGTCAGCCACAACCAATCTGTTTTGGCAGCTTTTTTTTTCTTTGGACGAGTGGATTTTGTGTTCGGACAACCAAAATCTGCAAAGTATCTATCCGATGGACAAGAAAAGTGAAAAAAAGTTTTTTTGCCCTGCCAACTTCAGATTTAACCTCCTTGATGACCATATGGGTTAGCTGGCGGGGTGATCTAGTAACAACGTTTTTTTCAATGTAGACTGCCTTGTACAAGGTTGTTACTTTTGAACTTGGACAAAATGCACCCATTTGTTAACGTATGTGATGTATAAGTTTTTGGTGCTTGTCTCAATAACGACTTAAAACTGGAATTGTCTGAAGGAGCCTGTCACACACAACATACCCTCAAGAAGAGTTTCTTGTGCGGCGAATGCCATTCTGCTTCGGGAATGGTGCTTTAGAAGGTCTCAGTAAAATCCCGAAAAAAAAGTTGGCCAATGAAATTTCTTAGGAAAATTGGGAAGTAGATGTGAGTCTGTCGGCCAAAGCTGAGCAATCAGTAAACCCTGTGCTTTGTCTTGACCTAATATCTTTAGTGGGCATCTCGAAAGGAGGCTGAAAGGTGTTTAAATCATAACCTTCCCAATTCATTTTAAAAAGGATCCCCATGCCACAAGCAATATGGTTTTGGAAAAGTAGCTTGTACTCTCTGGTACGGAACGACACATCGTAAAGTAGCAGGTGTCGAGATTGCCTATTAAGTCGCGTAGAAATTACGTGTCCTGTTCAAACATCGGCTGTTTAGGCACTAGTCCTTCTTACCCTACTGCTGTTCTTAGATATTTTATTGTTGCAGGCCCCAGTTTCGAAAGGCCTGGGGATGACCGTTTTGTCACATTCTTACCCTTACAGTTTTGTTGATGTCATATGGAACCATATGCTTACCTTACCTTTTTACTTGATTGTGTTGCATATTTGAAGAGCCTATCAATTTTCCATCAACTCCTAGAACTTTGAGCGCAGTAATTGACTTCTGAGGATTCGAATTTGGTATAATAATTACACACCTGCAGAGGCCGCAAAAAATGCTGTTGGTTACCCTTGAGAAGAAAAAAACCCGCCTTCCACACACTACCAGGAATGCTTTTATATTCAGCTACCCCAGTGGTATTGCCTCTTGTTTTGCCAGGATAGGCGACCTTGTACCACGTCAATTATGCGTCTGCAATGGATTCTATCTAAGAAATAACAAATACAAGTCAGAAAAATAGCTTAACCTTCAAATTCTCCATTTTATGATCCGCCAGAGAACGGGCGTGAGTAAAGGGCAGTAAGAGAGCCCTTTTTTGCCTTTGCTGTAGCATTTTCGTCCACCTGGGCAAAGTGATGTACTATTAGCTTGCAGATAATTTACAGTCACTTAATTATGATCGTTGACAGCAGTGGCAGGCCTGCCGTGTTTTGTTTATTATGCCTTTGGCGCGTGACACGCAATAACTAAATAGAGAGATTTTCGGAGTCACATTCTCGGCAAACGTCAGATTCAAGTTGAAAATTTCTCAAAAAAGACAATTTTTTAAATAGACAAAACAATCCAAGACAGTTTTCTGGAAAAAAACTGGCAAGGAATTACTTAAAGTGTTTTTCTTGATCAACGTGCTCCATGCACTCTTATGCTTTTCTTGGTGCACGTGGTGTGCGCACTCACTGGCCGCCTCATATGTCCTCTCACATTCCCTAAAAGGACACTTGAAATGGTCGGGATTATTCCAGTCACAAGTGTTGGTCCATCTTGTCACTTCCCCTACAACATCAAGTACCCTTGGTGTTTTTGGCTTTGGGGGAGTAGCTGGCTGCATCCTCCTCTCCTCATGTGGGCACTCATTTTGCCAATATACATGTGTATGGAAGGTGCAGATTCATTGTTTATGCCTCCATTTCTTCACTTTTTGCGAAGTGCCATTGTGCCAGCAGTCTCTGTGGTGCTTCAGATGGCCAGCGTCGTTGGTCTTGTAGCCACAGTCGCGACAATCGGGCCTCTTGGGCAGGTGGCTCTTGTTTGGGTGAGCCCTCAAACCATCTAGGGAGGTGAAGCTCTTGCCATCTCCTGTGTGAGGAAAAAAATTATGGAATTTATTATAAGCATAAGTTAAAAATGCGCACATTTCCATCCAGAGATTTTAATTATTTCCCGTGCACCTAAAAAATAGCTTTTTTCTCGTCTATCTTAACCCCTTCATCATCATCATCATCATCATCATCATAATAATAATAATAATAATAATAATAATAATAATAACAATAATTAATATTTGTATAGCACCTATCCAAACCTGCTCAAGGCGCTCTATACGGCATTCCAAACAATTAAGTAAATCTTAACATTCCAAACAATTAAATAAATAATCAAGTAGATGAATGAAAATTGAGATAAAAATGGCCATACTAACAGATATTTACAGTATGTTTATATTGTTGGGAAATTATCCTAATTTTGGTTAAGTTTTCGTTGGCATCAGCGGACAAGTTGTGCGGTTTTTTTAGATGGTTTCAGAAAGCCACAGTAAAATGTATTATATTACCAGTAATCAATTACAGCGGCTTGCTATTCTTAATTGTAGGCTAAATGGAATCATTGTCAACACACTATTGATTGTAAAAACTTGTCAAGTATAACGCAACATATTTGTATTTTGTATTTTTGTATTTTATTTTTACTCCATCCTATAGATAATACATTAGTTGTACAATATTAATTAATACAAGGTTGTTAAAACTACGTGTACATAAGAGAAAAAAAGATAAAAAAATTAGAATGGAGAAGGGCACGTTATAGTAAAACTAATTATGGCCCTTTAACAAGATTGGCTTTATTCTATTATAGCTTTGTTATTCATTAAAACACAAACACGCACGCACACAAGTCAATATTGAGCAAGATAATATTTTTAAGTGCCTTTTTGAACAGGATTTTCGATGATTTATTGCGAATAGAAAGGGGGAGATCGTTCCATTTTCAAATAAAAGACACCAACAGGAACTCTTACACGAAATACTAAATTATTTAAACACACAAAAAAGGCAACAAATAACACTAAACTAGCCAGCTTCAAAAGACGCGGCCATCATCATCGCTGACCGCTGACCGGATGATAAATTTCACTTTTCTGATGCAACATAATCAGACTCGGACAGCAAAAATGGGAAACAGAACTACTATACCAGCAGAAACTGGAAACCGGCTGTGAGAAAGTCTGTTAGGTTAAACCAACAGCTCCCTCTGCCTGTTTTGCACTACGTGAGTGGTTTCTGTGGTTTTCCCGCATGGATGATAAATTTCACTTTTCTCTTTGCTACTGATAGTAACAGCCAATATACACATGTCTCAAACGTGCCGATTCATTGTTCATGTCTCCATTTCTTTAGTTCTTGGGTAGAGCCAGGGTGCCACCGGTCCCTGTGGCGCTTGAGATGGCCAGCACAGTTGGTTTTATAAGGACAGTCCTGGCAATCATGCCTTTTGGGCAGGTGGCTGGTGTTGATATGCGACCTCAACCCATCTAGGGATGTAAAACTTTTGCCATCTCCTATGGGAGAAAAAATGGATTTATCTTAAACATTTGTTAAAGACGCTCACATTTCCATCCAGGTATGTTAACGATTTCCTGTGGACCTAAAAAATACTCTCTTCCTCATGTATCATACCCCTTAAAGGAGACAACAGGTTATTTGCAGTGTGTTTATATTGTTGGAAAACATCATGTTATAAGCTGTCGTTGGCAACAGCATACAAAGAAAGTCTTGTCATATAGTGCGGGGGTAGTGGATTTTGCCATCGGGCTAGTGACTTTTGTTCTTTGCTTGCCCGAAGGGCAAGTGCTGTTTATGGTGAAAAGTCAAATTACAGAAGGATTGAAATAACTAGTGGGCTATTACATGCTAGCTACAGCTTGCCTGAATGGCAGGCTATAAAACCGACTTTCCCTGCTCCCTGGAACCTCGTCTTTCCTGTTAAAGTACCTGCGCAAATCCAATTATTCCCATCCCCCTGATTGGTCTTGGGGTGGTTCACTATACTGACATGAGTACCACAGTCCTCAGCTCTAGAAAAAGTTTCCAAACATCCCCTGTAGGGGCACTCAAATGTTTCAGGGTACTCCCCCTCTTCATTGGGTGGGATCCACCTAGACCTGCAGTCTAGGTGGACCAGGTCTTGCTGGGGGAGGTTAGTCCACGAGCTAATTTCCCCAATAACATCCAGGGTCCGTGTTGTTGTCTGGAGACAAAGAAAAAGGCAAAGGAGATGAATGAGAAAACAAGTACAGAGCTTTGGGAGAAGATGGGTTGACATTTCACTCAAAACAATCAATGTATCATCTGGTTCAGTGTCTGTGGTGTACAAAGAAGATTACACCCTAGTGGAAGTCATTTTGTAGTTTCAAACATTGACTGACACTGTCCTTTAAATTTCTAGATGCAACATATGTAATAGCAACCACATCTTCACAAGTTACCGGTTTGGGAGGAGTAGCAGGCTGCTTCTTCCTGTCCTCGTGTTGCTGTTCATTTTTTCTTCTGCAAAAGACCTGTGTCGCGGTCTCTTTTGCTCGGTTTATCTCCTTCCTGTTCGTTGGATCTTCAGCTGCAGAGAAACCTAGATTAGTCACTAAATCTCAAGAAGCAGCATTTACGACATTTGGGTGTTTCAGTTATCTCAAGGAATAAGTTGGGTGGGAAAGTAAACAGGGTTTTCATCTATTGTCATGAAACATGTCTTGTTAAATGGTTGCAAGAATAATGAAAGGTTACCTTGCAGTTTTTTCAGCGGTTCATAATAATGCTTCTGCTTCACTTTGTGTGGTTATGTTTTTCTGCAGCAGCACAAGGCGGTAATTATATGCCGTGGGCATATTCCTGAGCCTTCTCACCCGTTCTTCTTCCGTTCGGAGATCTGCAATTAAAAGTTAAAATCTGTCTTGTTATGTCTTATCATTATGTTAGCTCTAGTACTAAAGACGTATATTTTATGCCAAAGCTATGCGCAAGGCTCAGGAGATAATTTCATTTGCCAGGCCCGGATAGTCATGGAATTGAATTGACCGCCATGAAAGCTATAGATACTGTAGATGTCAATTAAAGCAAGGAAATTGCCAGCATGATAGAGATGAGTAATCATGGAACCAATTTTATTGAAAAACAGAGCTTGTGTTGTTTGACTGATCTACGTTAAAAAGGAAACCCATAACAAAAGGAAAGTTTTGGAAAAAGTTTACAGTGACAGCTTGTAAGGTCATAGAAAAAGTCCTGACATTTGAAGAGTTTACAAGAGTACAAGATTGCTGTGAGTGATCAATCTGACAAATGACTGTTAAGTTAAAAGTGATAGCTATCAGGCCATGCCTACCTGGAGTTCTCAATGCCAGAGTGTCCGAATATTCCTCGATAATTTTCTTTATGTATAAGTGGACGATGGCACTTTTGGAAGACCACCCCCCCCCCCC